TTTCTTTCCCACAGCTGTTTTCTGAAGTTGCTGCTCTGGCCAGGTGTCCAAACTGAGATGCTACTTTAAAAAAATTTTTTTAACATTTTTTTATTGATTTCAGAGAGAGGAAGGGAGAGGGAGAGAAAGATAGAAACATCAATGATGGCCCTAGATGGTTTGGCTCAGTGGATTAGAGTGTCTGCGGACTGAAAGGTCCTAGGTTCGATTCCTCTCTCTCTCTCCTCCCTTCCTCTCTGAAACCAATAAAAATGTATTTTAAAAAAGAAAGGAAGAGAGAGCGAGAGAGAGAGAGAGAGAAATCAATGATGAGAGAGAATCATTGATTGGCTGCCTCTTGCACGCCCCACACTGGGGATCAAGCCCGCAACCCAGGTATGTGCCCTGACTGGGAATTGAACTGTGACCTCCTGGTTCATAGGTCGATGCTCAACCACTGAGCCATGCCGGCTGGGCCTGAGATGCTGCTTTGTTCCCTCTCCTCAGGACGCCACCAGCTCTAACAGCTCTTCCTGAGGGGTGTCCGTGGTGGCCTTTGCTGGGACTGCTGGTCACAGGACCCCATGAGAGGCCTTCGGCTTGGACCTTCCAGCAGCCCAGCGTGCCTTCCTGCCTCAGAGCAGGACAAGGGGCCCGGGTCTTCTGGGAAAGCCCTTCGCATGTGGTTAAGGGCGACCCCAATGCTAGGCCATTTGCCAGCGCTCTTCCTGCCTGCCCGCTAGCCCCTGGGTCTGGCCACAGCTGCCATTTAGAGTCACTACCCAGAGTCCACACCACCAGCCCCAGAAGCTGGGGTTTCTGCTCATGCTGCTGGGACACAGTGGGTGGAGGAAATAGGCCTCAATAATGTGGGGCCTTTGGTTAAATCACAACAAACCAGGAGGGGTTGCAAGGTTGTGGTTGGAATTAGATTTGAATCCTGGCTCCTCTTCGTCCTGGAGGACCTCAATGGGTTTCTTTCTTTTTTTAAAAAAATATGTTTTTATTGATTTTAGAGAGAAAAGGAGAGGGAGAGAGGGAGAGAGAGAGAGAGAGAGAGAGAGAGAGAGAAACATCAATGATGAGAGAGAATAATCGATCACTGCCTCTGGCATGCCCCCCACTGGGGATCGAGCCTGCAATCCAGGCATGTGCCCTGACCAGGACTCGAACCATGACCTCTGGTTCATAGCCCCACTGGGGATCGAGCCTGCAATCCAGGCATGTGCCTGACCAAGACTCGAACCATGACCTCTGGTTCATAAGTCAAACCTCAACCTCTGAACCACACTGGCCGGGCTCCCAACAGGTTTCTTAACCTCGCTCACCCTCCTCAGTTTCCTTGTTGGGAAATGAGGTTACAATAGACAATCCCTCAGGTCCTCCCAAGAGCTAACATTCTATAAAGCGGGCTGCTTAGATTTTATCTGCAGGCACAAAGGCTCAGCACACAGCATTTAAACATAGCGCTACAGAAGGCAGACTCCTTCAGGCTGGCGCTGTCCCAACCCGTCTCTCATTGTGGCTGTTCGAACCGAGTGGGGGAAACATGGGCTCGCCCCCCCCCTCAGGCTCGGACTCCGCTCGGCCTTTTATGTACCAGGTGGAGGCTAGCAGAGAGGGCCAGCCGGGCCTTCACTCTTAGGGTTCACGATCTCTGTCTAAAGTAATACGCCGGGCCCCAAACGCATACACGTTTCTCATTCGATTAACCCGTCAAGAAACATTTCAAAGAAGATGGCAATGTGCTCCCCACAAGCTGAGAGACCAATTTCCCTTCCTTTGGCTGAGGGAGACAGGAAAAATGATACCAGAAGTAGGAATCTTTAACTCTGGGTGATTGAAAGAAAATCAATTATACCAAGAAGCATCCTGGAGCAGCTGAGGCTGTCAGGGAGGTCTCCTTTTTAAGGCCTGGGACAGGCTGGCGCCAGCATCCTGGTCCTTTCTGGGTTCACAGTGAATGGCATGCCACCCAGCAGGCAGCCCAGCGCCTGGCTATCAGCTGTGGCCCCTTCTCTGGACAGGAGGATGCTCAGTGGTTGGCTCTGAGCGGGTGTTGGACCTGTCCGCTGGGGTGGTTTGAACCATGACGATAACTTAGTGTGCTTCACATTCTAAAAACACTCGGCACCACGGGCGGCTCCGGCGCGGAGCACAGTGATTACACCGTAGAGGGGGCTAAGCAGGGGTCACAGGGTGTTTTCTAACTGTCCAGAATGACATGGCGGGATGTCTAGGGCTGAGGAAGCTGACACAGGGCAGTGAGAGAGTTGGGTTAGGATTTTTTCAAAGAGCCAACGGTAGATTGGCTCTGAGAGGCCTCTGTGGAGACATATAAGCTGAAATGGCCTCTTTTAAAAAATATGGAACGCTTCACGAATTTGCATGTCATCCTTGCGCAGGGGCCGTGCTAATCTCTGTATTGTTCCAATTTTAGTATATGTGCTGCCGAAGCGAGCACTGAAATGGTCCTTCTTGCCGAGATCTGGGACAAGCTAGTATGTTGAGCAAGGAATCCAGAACCAGAAGAAACAAGTAAATGAAGCGATATTTTTGGAGCAGCGTCATAGAGAGCAATGGCAGTTTTGTGCCCTTTCAGCTTTAGACACAGTTGAATTTATCTTCTCTCATGCGGTTCCTTTCCCCAAAACACAAACTTTTAAAAAAAGAGGTGATGGTGGCAGACACCACTTGTCACCAAGTCCTCTCTTGGGATGGGGCATGCCATCTTGGAAGGGAAGGCAGGCTGGCCAGGACAGGCCAAAGCCTGGGCCACGGTGGCCCAGGATGGAGCTGCCAAGGGGGCCTGATCAGCTGGGAAGCTGGGAGGGTGAGCTGTGGGAGGGAAAACCTATGCCAAAGATTTCTGGAAATATAGGTACAAGAAATATAGGGTGTTTTCTTTCAAAACAAACAAACAAAGAACATAAGGTGGCTTGGCTTCAGTGAAATCCGATGAACTCAGAGTTGTATCAGTGGTCTTCAAGTGGGGGGAGGCGGGCGGAGTTTGTCCTGGTCTGTTCGCTGTCTGATTTCTGGGTCTATGTGAATAGTCAACTGGACACTCAGGGAAAACCTCCGGGGAGCCCCAACCCCCAAGAACTTTGTCCTGTAACATAGCAGTAAAGCTGAACTGAAAATTTAATGTGATTTATTGCAGTGGATGATCTTTTCAGAGAAGCAAATATTGAACCAAATGGCAAAGTGAAGTATGATGAATTTATCCAGAAGATCGCCATTCCTGTGCCGGACTACTGAATGGAGAGAATGCAAGAGAGCACCCCCTGGGCCTGAAAACCAGACGGATGAATTTTTAGAAAGAAAAGCGTTCCTTTCACTCTAGGGAGACAGCACAGCGGCATGACGCTCCCTGACTGTAGCAGAGGATAACGTATCAATGAAAATTAATGATTTCGGCCATGGTATTAGCACATCCTTAATAAAAGATTTTTATTAATTTTAATAACTGCCATTAGTCTCGCCCTTTACAGCTTGGAAAGAGCCTCTGGTTTGGAGATGGGCCTGGTTCCAGTCCTGACTCTGCCATTTCCCAGCTGTCTGACTTTGGGCCAATCATTTCACCGCTCAGAGCCTCAGGATCGTCACTCATTAGATTCCTTTTTTTCTTTTTAATATATTTTTATTGATTTCAGAGAGGAAAGGCGAGGGAGGGAGGGATAGAAACATCAATGATGAGCGAGAATCATTGATCGGCTGCCTCCTGCACGTCCCCTACTGGGGATCAAGCCCACAACCCCGGGCATGTGCCCTGACCAGGAATCGAACCGTGACCTCCTGATTCATAGGTCGATGCTCAACCACTGAGCCACGCCAGCCAAGCAGATTCCTAGTTCTTACCTCGTGGAGCCTGCTGAGGATGGTCTGAGTTAATGACTTGAAAATGTCTTTGCAAACTGGAGAGCTCTGTGCCATCCTGAGTTTCCATGGTAGTGCTTCTGCAAAGAAGGGCAATCACCCAAAAGGCTGCATTCTATATTTGGGTGCTGGAACCATCTTCCACATTTCTAAGACAAAGCCAGTGCTAGCTGAGAAATAGCAACAAGCAGATCTAAAACAAACAAACAAAAACTATGGCAACATTTCTTGCAGCACCACAGGGCCACTTACAAATTCTCATTCCCATCTCAACACACAGTGACACCACTCACATTCATTCATAAACACAGCATACAGGGTGGGAACAGGGTAAAACAAGGCAGCCTCAGGTAAACAGTGGGCAGAGGGATCTGACTTCACAGCCCACACCAGAGGAAACCAATGTGACCCAGGCCTCGGAGAACTGGGAAAGCCCTTTCTTTCTTCTTTTAAATATATGTGCTAAAGATGTTTCTTTTTCAAAAAAATATTTTTATTGATTTCAGAGACGAAGGGAGAGGGAGAGATAGAAACATCAATGATGAGAATCATTGATTGGCTATCTCCTGCATGCCCCCTACTGGGGATCCAGCCCGCAACCTGGGTATGTGCCCTTGACCGGAATCGAACCTGGGACCCTTCAGTCCATGGGCTGACGCTCTATCCACTGAGCCAAACCAGCTATGGTGGAAAGCCCTTTCTGATGCTCCTTTCAGATACCCAGCCTCCCCAGCCTGTGATCAGAGAGGTTCATGAGAATGGGATGGGTCTGCTCAAGTGGGTCAAACTGCTCATGGCTTCAAGCCATTTCCCATGACTAATGGAGAGTAATAGGGGCTGAGCAGGCCACGGCCATGGCACAGCAAGAGCCCTGGGAAACAGTAGTAGGGGTACTGGCCCTACCGGGTCAAGTAGCTGTCTTGTAGCCAGGAGGTGCCGGCTGGTGCTGTGTGTGCGCTCACCAAATTTGTGGATCCATTGGTAGTGTCAGCCCTGCCCTAAAAAGGGTTGGAGTCACACACTGGCATGTTGGGGGTTGGGAGGGCAGAGTTCTAAGTACAGAGATTTTCGTCCTTGTATGTATCAAAATGGGGCTCTCTGGGCTGTGGCTTTGTCTAATGGTGCTTAGTGGCTAAAGCAAAAGGAAACCAAACCGAGGGAGATATGTCTTTTGGGAGGCTATTCAAGACACAAACACAAGGGCCAGCCACCAGGGAAACGGCAGGGGACCAGTCAGTTTTAGTGCAATGATCTCACAACAGTGTGACTGCCAATGAGAGTAGAAATTCCTAGAAGCTGTAGGGAAGGGTTCTGTGGAGGGCAGGCAATAAATGGCCCAGACATCCAAGTAGGTGAAGTTGTGATTATCTAGCTGCAGAGCGTAGGTTCACACTGTGCAGGAGCAGAACCAGGTTTTGGGGGTTTCAGGTTGTATGATTTGGCAGCCTTCTTTAAGATATAAAAATAGACTCGGTAGCACTGCTCCCAGAGCCCAATGAGGCCCAGGTGCAGAAACTTCATTGCCATCGTGGTAAATCCCCGAGGGCTGGGTAGGTGTTGGCACACCATAGAGAACTGCTTTATTTCACTTTCAGCCAAGGATCAAGGGTCTCAGCCCACATCTCCTTTGAACTCATCACGGACGTTAGGAAGCAAATCCTGCACAGCCAATCTGGGATACCAAGGGTCAGACATTAGACACCTTTGATTTAGATGGGGCAGGGCAAGAAGGTTCTGGGCTGTAATAAATGAGGGTACTTCACCTTAAAGCCTTTTTGTCTGATAAACGGAATGGCCCCAGTATGTGTTTAGTTTAAAGAGAAACATCAATCAGTTGCCTCCCCTACACGCCCTTGACCAGGGATCCAACCCTCAATGTAGGCACCCTGGTATGTGCCCTGACCAGAATTCGAACCCACAACCTTTTGACGTACGGGATGACACTTCCATCAACTGAGCCACCCAGCCAGGGCCCAAGTATGGCTTTAAAGTAACTTTTAATCTGATTTGCCTAAAGGAATCTCTGAAGTATAGCTTCCCCGAAACACACTAAGTGGTGTGGAATGCTCCTTAGAACCTGGGCTCATCTCCACTGGCCCAGTGCCCCGAATTAAGGGCATTCAATGGCTGGGGTCCTAAAGTCCTGTGAGGCCTCTATCTAACCTCTATCCCAGAAACGGTTTTTACACCACCCCATGTCCAGGCTTTATGCTCATTCCTGGAATTTCAGTTGGTTTATCTAGCACCTAGTATTGTCTACAAAAAAAGGCAACAGTGCTCTTAGTTCTCAAATTGCAGATTATTAAACAGGTTTAAAACTAAACAGATGCTGTGGTTCATTACAAAGCCAACCATATTTCAATAAGAAAGGGGAATGATGACTGTACATTCATTACTTACCTCAAAGCATGTTGCAAAGGAATTACTCGTCATGCTTTGAAATCTCTGGATGAAAGGTGCTTTGGAAGCACAAAGCATATGGCCTTTCTCTTAGAGATGTCCCCTTGCACACCCAGCAGTGTATTTTACAGAAGACAAATTAACTGAAGGCTTTTCTTTTATTACATCTAAAGAGCTCTACATAAACAGGTAACATTCAATAGGTAAACAATTTTTTTCCAATGCATGTAATAAATATCTTCACTTGGTACTTTTATACAAACTGACATTGGTTTACTATACATTTTTAAAAGCCATTTTACTGGTTTGGCATGCGGTATGGAAATTCTAAGAGAGAAAGTCTTAAGGCAATGAATCACAGATTTAAGTTTATGGAATTTATGATAACTTTTATATGTTTATATACATTTCCCCTTTGTTAATTAAACAATTAACAGCAGCACACTCTGGGACCACCAGCTATTCTCCCTCCCTCTTGCTGAAATCTAAGCTTTGTGGTTTTGTGTTGGTTTATTTTTAATTATAAAACAAAATTTAACATGTATTGATAAAACAAAACTCTTACTAAAATAACTTCAAATGTGCTCTAAAGTCCTGAAGATCTTGAAGTGTTTTATGTACTAACAACTGGAATTATTTAAAAATGATGTTCAATAATTAGAAATTAAAATTGGGATATATTTTCATTCAGCTTCAAACATTTGACTCAAAGGAAAATCTGCCAAGGTATCCCATTTTTCAGAAGCTTGAGTGAATCTTTCCTAAGTTGCTAATGATACAGAATTGTGATTATGTCTAAATTAATACAGAAAAACTTAATGTTCAAAATAAATTAGTCAACCAAGTGTGGCATGGTTAAACTTCAGATTGCTTTAAAAAGTGTCCAATAATGCCCACAAAATAACTAAAAAGCCACTTCAACCTTGCTAGTCAAACAGCTATTTTACCAAATATGTGTGATACACACACATACAATACAACTATACAGAAACACAAACATATGCACACCTATTATGAAAGACCAAGGCAAGGGAGATGGTGACAACTTGCCTAAAGATTCTGAGAATCACTAATTCTCCATGTGTGGAGGAGTGAGAGTGGGCTAAGGAATAAAGAGATGAAATGACTATATGCTTTAAAAAAAACAAACTTAGAAGATGCAGTGCATGACTCTACTAATAATTACTACCGATCATGAAAATCTAATATTGGCCATGAGACCAACAGAGTAATAGCTACTACTAATACCAACATTTTGAAAAGTCAGCAACTGAAGGGAACAAACTCTTTAGAGTAGAATGAACTAAAATAAAGAGACAATGAATGGTTTCTCCTGTGGAGACATGACCAAAGCCACTAACTAGACAGACATTTACTTCTCCCTATCACCCATTCTTCCCGTGGGTTGGTTAAATGCAGGACACTAAGGAAAAATCAACCCTCTCTAAAACTGGCTGAAGAAAGTCAAGGGATGGGTTTCCAACTGGATCATTCTAAGAGTTTGTAATTCAGCATCATACACAAAGTTATTGATCAGAATTTTGAGACCACTAACACCAATGACAGAAAAAGAAAACAAAAACGTAGAAAACTATTCATTTTATCATATGTAGTTGAATTAATAAGAAATGTCCCCTATTGCAATGTGAAATAAAAAGCAACTCCCCATAATTTAAGTAATTTGTACCCCAATCTGAATTTAGACCAATTATGAGACTCGTAGATATTAGCCTAAGTTAATATGGTAATGAGAGTTCTTAAAGTATTTACTCACCATAACACCAGATTCATTTTAAAACTTAACTACTTCCTGCTTTAACCAACAATAAAAATTTTTTTATTGCAAATTGTTTAGTGACTAACTCAGCCATGTATGTGTGGAATACACATGCCTTGGGGAAGACTATATTTGTCACTCACACACACTTGTCTATAAATACATATATATACACACACACATATACATATCAACATCAACTTGTTTTTCAAAATTCAAGTCAACAATTTAGTGGCAGAGAGATGCTGTAAGGAACATATTATTTTTAGATGCCACAGTCATGTGAGCCATAATTTTATCATACAACCAAAGATAACAGCCATCTTGAAGTCTACCTGGGATACAGGAGGTCATTTTGATACCACTGCAAGGTTTAAAACAACAGTGTTATACACAAAGGTGGTCGGTCC